CCAGGTAAAAGCAAGACAATGGTCAGTGGTCAACTTCCCAAGGTAGGTTTCAGCTTCCACATTAACTAATCAGCTTGCAGAGCTTGCAGCACCTTCTACATCCAGCCTCTAGACAAAGGGCAACTATCATCCACCAACCGATTTTGTCCTCTTCTGGAAGAATCAGAAAGGAAAAATGTCTTCACTTCATTTCTCCTACTGTCCTCAAGATCACCTCCCTCCCCAAACCCCTCACTTCTGTTGTCCTCTCTAAGAAATATGCTTTATCCACTCCAATGGGCAGGACAGTAGTAACTGAGACAGGAGAATGACCCTCCTCCTTGCTTTAGGGAAGTTATCAGTTCCACCCTCCTCGGGAAGCTCTGTAGTCTCTGAGAAGAGGCTCACAGACACCATCACTCTACCTAAGCCAGTTAGGTCCTCTGCTGGTGCCAGCCTCTTTTTTCCCCACCAATGAGTTGGTACAAAGCCATCCCGTGTTCCATGCCAAACCAGTTATTCGCAACACTCATCAAAATCCGCCTCCGTCCACTAACTCAGCACTCCTGCTTTCCTAGCATAGCCAACCTCCCTAACACCCTGACATCCTGGCCTTCAGCTTCACTATTTACATCACATGAGAGATTTGGGTTTTGAAAGCCCAATTCCCTCTGAAGAAAGTATGCAGATGATTCATCTTCTCTGAAAAAACTACCCATCCCAGGCCTTGATATCCACGCCAAAAAGTTCCTGAGGTGGGGCTCGGAGAGGACAGAGTGGGGGAGTTCTGTTACATGGGAGAGCACTGTCTCAGTTTCCAAATGAAAAAGATGACACTGTTCTTGGGGCACTGCTTTGCCAGGGTGTCCTGCAGAAACCAAGGAAGCTTCCGTCCTGGAGTCACTGTGGACACAGCCTTGGATCACCGTGGAGCCTCAGACCACACTGACTCCTCCCTGTCTCCGTGTCTAACCCCCTCTCACATAGAGAGATCTGACCGACCACAGACATCCCCTCTGGCCTCCCGAGTGGTTTCTTCAGCACAGCTTCCAGAGCCAAATTAAACGTTCACTCTATGTCTATAGACAAAAAGGGTTTTGACTAAACTCTGTGTTTTAGAGAGGGAGTTAAATGCCGTTAACTTTTTAGGGGTGGGTGAGAGGGATGACAAATAACAACTTGTCTGAATGTTTTACATTTCTCCCCACTGCCTCAGGAAGGTTCACAACGAGGTCATCCGTGATAAGGAGTAGACCTCCCAGCCGGACTGTCCCTCAGCCCCCAGAGGACACTCCACAGAGATATGCTAACTGGACTTGGAGACTGACTCACACTCCAGAGAAAAGCGTAGAGCAGGGGTGCAGGGAGTGGGGCCAAGGTCCCAGGGACAGGATGTCTAGGAGAGAGATTGGGGTGAGGGTAATCCAATGCAATTACTGTGGCAGCTCAACATTCAAGGGAGGGGGAAGAAAGATGTGCAGCAGAGATGGTAAGCTCCAAAATTTGAGGCTTCAGCTGCTGGAAAGTCTTAGGGGCAGAGATAATAAGACATAGCAGACTTTGAGGGTTTACTACACACTAGACGCTCTATGCATTTACTTACTTATTATCTCTTATTTATTACTTTGTGTAACTCTTGTCATAATCTTATGAAAACAGAAACCCTCACATAGCCATTTTACAGATGAGAAAAGTGACATTTTTGAGAGGATAGCTAAGGATAGCTAGTAAGTAAAGGAGCCGGGACCTAAATCAAAGCCTTTCTAACCAGAGTACACACTCTTTTCTTTTTCCAGGGTAATTTTTTTTAATTTTTATTTTAAGTTCTGGGATACATGTGCAGAAGGTACAGTTTTGTTACATAGGTATATGTGTGCCATAGTGGTTTGCTGCACCTATCAACCTGTCATCTAGGTTTTAAGCCCTGCATTCATTAGCTATTTGTCCTGATGCTCTCCCTCCCCTCCCCACACCAGACAGGCCTTGGTGTGTGATGTTCCCATCCCTGTGTCCATGTGTTCTCATTGTTCAGCTCCCACTTATGTGTGAGAACATGTGGTGTTTGGTTTTCTATTCCTGTGTTAGTTTGCTGAGGATGATGGTTTCCAGCTTCATCCATATCCCTGCAAAGAACATGATCTCATTCCTTCTTATGGCTGCATAGTATTCCATGGTATATATACCATATTTTCTTTATCCAGTCTATCATTGATGGGCATTTGGGTTGGTTCTATGTCTTTGCTATTGTAAATAGGAGTGCACACTCTTGACCACTACACTGGAGCACCAGGCCCTAGAAATAGTGACTATATTCATTAACCAATTAGAAACTAGTATGTGGAGGGTATTGGGAGCAGGTTTAAGACTCTGAAAGATAGTCTGGCTTCATTTTAACCAGGGAATTAATCATCCATTCCATGCAGCACCATTTTCAGAAAAGGCATTCCCTGGCGCTCACCCTAAGTGTTTGTATTCTATGGCTAGATAGGCCAGTGTATAACTACTCCTTTTTTCAACACTTCTTCCAGCAAAAACACAAAAGAGCATGGTGAGCTGAGCTTATACTCTGTACCAGAGGCCTCTGATGTCCCATCTGTTAGTAGGATACCAATCCATGGCTCCTCACTTTCTAGGAGTCTCGGAGGAGACAGTGGACCCTGGAGACACCCAGGACACAAAACCAGAGCAAGATGAAGAAGCTCCACTCACCTCTCCCCTCATTCTTGTCCAGAAATTTGCTCTATCTTCCCCATTTTTTGCCCTGTCCAAATTACCCACCACAATTAGACAAAAGGCCTCAAGAGGTCTGCAGAGGGGCAGGATGAGGGCAGGGGTCAGCTTTTCTCCTTCAGTTGATTGTTTTGTGATTACTTTAGACTTGGTCTAGTCAGGAAGAATCCGTCACTCTCAGCAGGCAGTGGGTGGGGAGAGGTACCAGCAGACTTAGAAGTAGATATGGAATGTATTAAACCGTGGTGCAAAAAGAAAGGCCTGAGAGGTTAAACCAAAGAGGGAGATGCAGTTGCACAAAGTTAGGGGATTGAAAGAGTCCCCAAGGTACCAGAAGGTCCAACATAGTAAGAATTTTAAGAGGTGATAAAGGTAACTTGCTGTCAGAAGAGGCAGATATTACTAAAGAAACAAGTGAAATTGATTCCTTTCTCACGCCACCATAAAGGTGAATGGCTACCAGATGGTCAGACAGAAATACCTGTCCACAGGCTGCGGGAGAGAAAAAATAAATGCAAGAAGAAATCAGATCCTCCTCTGAGCAGGTGAGCAGGAAATTAAAATATCTGTACACTGACCACAAAGCAAGACCACACATGGTCGTCAAGAGGCTGTTCAGAAGACAGCAGGAGTGGAAGTTAGCGTCTATCCTGTCTGCCACCCCACACGCAGAAAGCCTAGTCACAAACCTCCCAGTATCAGAGGGAAAAGCCTTTGGAGAAAACCCAGCAGAACCAACAGGAATAAAGATGGGACAGCAGAGACCCAGGCCACTGTGGGAAAACCAAGCTCACATCCTAGAAGAGTCATTGGTCCAAGTAACAATTCCTTGAGCACGTGCTATGTGCCAGGCCCTCAGCCGGGAGCTTTTTCAGTGTTTTTCTAAATGTAGGCAGTTTCTGAAATGGCTCTCAGTGATTCTTGCCTCCCATGTAATCCCTTCCTCTAAGTGTGGGCTGGACTTAGGGACTTGGTTCTAATGAATAGAATATGGTAAGAGTGATGGGGCGTCACTTACTCCCACCAAAAAATCTCCCTGGATTTGTGCTTCATAGACTCCCATCTCTCCTCTCCAGCATGTCTTTCAGATTCTGGGCATCGGTGAGTAAATCTTCTTCCTCTCTGAATAATCATCTTTTCTGTGGGCTTGTTGCTACATTTCTCCCAGAAGACACCCACATACACACACACACAGCATGCACGCACACCATTACACTAGGAGGAGGAGGGAACTCAGCCTCCTCTTGCCATTGTCCTGCTCCTTCCCAATCAATCTGCCAACCACAAATTAGCATTACACAGGCATTTACAGTGTAGCCTCCAGGGATAGATAGAAGCTGCTAATCCTTAAGAAGGAGCGCTGGTACAATAGCAAGTGGCCTGCAGCCTCATCTCCGCTCACGGGGGTGTTCCTGTGCAGCAGCATCTTGCTCCTTTGTGAGCTGGCCAAGTCAACCACAGATGGTGGAGTCACTGGGCCTTGGGCAAAGAGGAGACACTGGAAATCTAAGGAGCACCAAGCTTTGCAAATGCCTGCATGACACGCTGTTCGCTGTTCGATGACTCTATTTATCCTCAGCAGATGATCCTCTTGGAACGGATTCCTTCTCAGAGCTTCCAGCCTGGTCTTTTGTCAGTATACCCTTCCATTTTCCATTTCTACTGGTTAACATTAATGAATGGCTCCAACTGGGACCAATCCAGAGCATGAAATCCCCTGGGGGGTCAAGTCTGTAGTTCCCACCTGCTCCACCCTCTCAGCAACTTGGATTAACAAAGCTGGGGTTTGTTTTGTTTTACTTTTCTTAAGGGATTGATTTGGCCCTCTGAAGTATGATTGAAATTCCTGATCCCAAAGGAAGGCAGCCCTGGCTGGGTTCCCAGGGTCGTTTCTATCCCCAGGCACGGTCTTCAGAGCCCCCAGGGGCCTCTGATTGCAACTTTGCCTGCTGAAATCCCAAGGGCTGGCTCCTGCAGCAGCCTCCTCTGAGGCTTCCTGCTCAGCTCCTGGGCCCTTATCCTGCAGCTGGGTCTGGAAACCAGAGGAGCTTGCAAGAGGCAAAGCCTCTTATCACAAACATTTCCTGCCTATTCCCGCCTGACCCCGCATACCATAGCCTTTCCCTGGCTAGTTGGGCCACCAACGCAGCCCTCACACAAAAGACTTGAAAGGCAGGGTCCCCAGACTTGTCTCTACTCCAGATTCTTCTCCATCCACACTGTCTCCTTTCTCTAGGGAGCTCACAGGCTCTTCCAGGCCACCCAAACGGTTCAGTCGCTGAAAAGCATGGAAGGAATTCAGGTGGAACCTGCAAGAAAGAAGACAAAAGGCAGGTAGGATTTCTAGTTCAAATAGAAGATGTGAGTCACAGCTGGAGTTGGGCCCACCTCCCCGAGGACCCCACTGTGCTATCTCTGACAAAGAGATGGAGACAGAGTTGAGAGAAAGGCCTGCACACCTGTGTGTGTGTGTGCATTTCCCTGGCATCCCCACGTTGTGGCCTCCCCATGTTGTGCTGCAAGTGTGGCTGAAGCCGTATGGACTGTTGATGGTATGTGCTGAAGGTCTAGGAGACAGGGCCAGAGGGTCTAGCCAGCCCAACCCAGCTGTGCTCAGCAGGTCACTAAATTCCACAGCCCCTCTCCCCTCCCCACACCTGGGGCACCCTAGTCACACCCCTTCCCCCGGCCTACACTGGCCTTCTCTGCCTCCTGCCCCCAGCTCACTGTGTGGTCCAAGCCCTCTGCCACAAGAAGAGCCAGGGAGGGAGGGATGGGCCTGCGTGTTTACAGTCAAGCATAACTGAGCCTTTATTTTAAATAAATAAAACTTTTAGCTAGTTTTTATTTTCCCTTTCTTTCCAAAAGCAGTTTTGTCCCTCCTCCTCCTCCTCCTCCTCATCATGGCTGAGCCTTTATCTGTGGGGCCACCCAGGGAGGGGCTGTGGGAGGACGGAGGAACAGAGGCCAGACTGACCCTGATGCTTCACGTCTTCTCAGGCCGTGTGAAGTTCTCTCTCTCTGTCTCTCTCTCTCATCCTCACAGAGCCTCAAGGTTATTAAGAATTCAGGGATGTCCAGGCCTGAGGAATAGAGACTAAACAGGAAGCCCGGGCTTCATCGTCAGCATATTGTCCATCTGTTCCCCCCAATCACAGGGTTGCCCACCCCCCATATGAAATTGCCATCCATCTGTCTTCCTCTTTGGTCTGTCATCTCTCTGTCTCCCCTGTTGGACCCTCATCCATCTGCCCCTGCCATGGGACACCGTCTCTCAAGGTCTCTTTTGGGTTGTCATAAATCCACCTTCCCCATGGGATGTTCCATCCACCTGTTACCCCATCGACCTATCAGTCCATCCGATCCCCTTGATCACCCTTTTTTGTCCATCTGTCTCCTCCCATAGGACTTACTTTTGCCCATCTGTCTCCCCGAATGGGGCCAGCAATAGTGAGTCTCTGAGGCATGGAAACAGTTGGGATTCTCTTCTGGTTTTGATCCCAGCAATCACAATAGTAGCTACCATCAATCAAGTGTCTATGTGCCATACACTCTACATACATTATTCCCTTTTGCCCTCCAACAGCCCCGTATGTGCTTATTTCCCTGTTTTACCAGAAGGAAACAGAGGCTCAGAAGGGTTAAGTGTCTTGCCCAAGGTCACACAGCTCCTAATGGGAGACACAGGGTAAAAACCGGCTCTGCCAGTATGGAGTAGGGGTGAGGACACAGTCTTCTTACTCCACCCCCAGAATGTAAGACTCCCCTTCCCCTGGCCTCCCTGCACATTTAATTTACACTTTGCTGCTGGATGTTTTCAGACTGATGAAGTTTCCTCCCTGCCCTGGCTCTGCACAAAAAAAGTGAGGGAAGAAAAGCAGCCAGATGTGAGAGCATTTTGAAGGTCTTTTTGGGGGGATGGAGAGTGATGTTAAATAAACATCCAATGGTATTCTTTCTGCAAAACGATCCATTTTCATGGCACCCAGGAGTTCGTCCAAGGGTCTCTGGGTCACTGGGGAAAAGTATTCCGTGTGTTTTGGCTCCATATTCTTCCATTGGCCACAAAGAGCTAATTCTTCCAATTAATGAAATCAGCACCACTGATGGAGATGTACTGACAAATTATTTTCAAGATGAATATATTCACACCCATGGTGGGACTGATTGGCCTGAAGGATTTGGAGGTTACAGAATGAAGGTCCCCCTGCCCACCGAAGACACTGAGGTCATTCATGGTGGCCGGGATGTTGGCCACCATCTCAAGGGACGCCTCTCTCCGCTGGAGCCATGGAGACTGGACTGGGTTGTCTGTGTGGAAGGGCTGCCTATCAATGGGCTTCTGTATGGCCTCAGCAGGTCCCCAGCACCCCCCACCCCCTACTGCCCCAGCCAAGTCCCCTTCAGGGCCTGGTCTGAAGGGCCTATTCAGCATTTAGGACTCCCTGATGGGAAGTGAAAGAGAGACAGACAGATGCTTCCGTGGAGCTGGGGAATAGCTAGAAGCCTGGAGACAGGAAGGGAAGCTTGAAGCCACCAGGGAGGAGCCCAGAGAGAAGAAAAAAGGCGGGCCGGAGGTCCTATAGGGTAAGAAAGAGAAGAGGGGAGGAGGGGAGGCTGTGAGGGGGAAGAGAGAGGGTGGGAGAACCAGAGGAGGGGGAGGAGGCCGGAAGGAGGCCTCCATGCCGAGGGAGAGATCCCAGTTGGGAGACAGACCAGAGCCAGAAAGCAGTGTGGGATTTTTTTAAGCCACATATTTAATTTCCTGATGATATTTTTTTTCAGGCTGATATTCACAGCATTTTTCATTCCCCAAGCAGCTCTACCAGTCATGAAAAAGTGATCCAGAGTGAGCTGAGTGATGGGCCCAGTTTGAACCTGAACAGACCCATCAGGATAGCCCAAAGTCAAGGCAACATGTCCTCTCTTTTTCTAACCACTAGAGACTAAGGACAAATTTTGCTTCTGGCTGGTCTTGGAGGAGGGGAAAACAGTTTCTAGGCAGCGCTGGTGAATAAGTGACAATGCAACTTCAAGGGCTAAAAGATCTCTGTTAATCATCTCTTTGGTTTCTGTTTTCCTATGTGGGCCCTGACTGAACCAGTATTCTGAGCTTTGAGAGTTATAAGTTAGGAGCTAAAGAAACCAAAGCCCAACTTTCTCCAGGGCATCTTATACCACTACCACCAAGCCATTTTTCTAAAGCCTTATTTTCCTGCTTAAAAATCCATCTGTGCAGCCCTATGCTTACCAAATAAAGTCTACACCCTTCAGCCAGAAAAGCAAGGCCCTCTAGAACCCAGCTGCTCCAAGTGTGGTCCAAGACCAGCTGCCTTGGCATCACCAGGGGCCACGCCATGGACCTGCTGAATCACCAGGCAACGCTTGTGCGGTGACAGCACGAGAAGCCCTGCTCCTTACCGCTTCTGACCCACTCCAGATAATCTCCTGCTGTTGCCATGGAGGAGGGCTACTTCCGCAGCAAACTGGAAGTGTAAAAGTCTTCAAATACACCTTTCGCTTATCCAGTTCTGAGTGCTGGTTCCTGACTTTCCTTTATCTTAAAGATGCTTCCCCTTGTACCCCCTTGAGGAAATCTCACCCACATTTAAGACCCAACTCAAATGCCATCTCTTCCAAGGATCCTTCCCTTCTTACTGTCCCCTTTCCTTGCCAGAGGTTAGAACTTCCAAGGCAGTTTGTTTGAATCTCCCTTGGAGTGCTTTCTACCTTCTGTCTTGCATTTTGATTACTCATGTACTTATCAAGGGGCAGCATTGTGTAGTGTTTTGCAGGGTTTCCTGGGTTCAAATCCTTGTCCCATGGCTTCCTAACAATAGCACCAAACAAGTGCTTAATCTCTTTGGACCTCAGTCTTCTCATCTGTAAAATGGGAGTAATAATGATACCTCCTCAGAGAGTTGTTGCAAGGATTTTTAAAATATATTTATTGAATACCTATGTGCCAGGCAATGGAGATACAAATGTGACCAAAACCATATAGTTCTATTCTCATAGTGGATTACAGTGCTTGTACAGTGTTTAAAACACAGCGAGTGCTCAATACATTTTAGCTATTATTATGCCTTATCACATTCACCATACCCTGGGCATTTGTGTAAGGCAGGGAGCATATCTACAAAGATACATAGGTGTTATAGCCCCAACATCTAACACAGGGCTTGGCATATAGTGTGCACTCAAAAAGTGACTGTCAACTGACTGAGATGACCCAAAGAACAATGTTCTTAATTGCACAGGAAATGAGAGCTGTCATCCCTAAAGCTCTGTGCTTACCCAACATGGCAGTCTTCCCAAGGCTGACTGTTTTGTGCCCCTTTTCCTAGAACCATAATTTGTTTAATCAATGATTGCTGTTATTTTTCTAATAATCGTTGGTTAAAAGTTCTGTTTCCTCAGTGTGGTTTCCATGCTGTCCTCTCATTGGTTTCTTTCTGTGTCCCACTCCCTGCTTCCCCTCTGAAAGCTCAATGTTATGTTTTGGGGTGGGTTTTTAGGGGAGCAAGTAAAATATTTCCACTGGACATAGTATTTATTTTATTTTTAACTTCTTTGTATAACTTAATCAATTGTCTCATTAACATTCTTTTGACTCCCCCAAAAAATGGTTTCTTAAAATTCTTATTCTGTGTTTTCATCTCCAGGGGAACACTTGGGCTGGGTTTTCTACCAAGAATGACACAATTCTTTCCATAGCTACATAGAGGTGGAATTTGAAAACCAAGAGAGTTGTATTGGTCCAGCTCTATTGCCTTAGTCCTACGCCCCAAAGAATTCCTCATACACACAAGACCCCAACTCTCCCACTGGCCACGTTTCGCAATGCTGCCTCTATTAAAAATGTTCTCTTCCTGGTTAAATCCTAATGGAAAGTGAAATAAATACCATTTAAAAAGCTCTTTTAAGATGAGGGTTATTCCAGAGTCCAGTTGCCTTGAATTACAATGATCCTTGACCTATCACTACTTCCTTCAGACTCAGTTACTATATTTTTTTTTATTTCAATCAACAAGCATTTTAAATTTCCTTTCGCATTTCCTTGTGGTGACCTGGTTTTGTTTATCTCTCCTTTCATTTTTTCAAGATGGGGTCTCACTCTGTCACCCAGACTGGAGTACAGTGGCACAATCAGAGCTCACTGCAGCCTTGAATCCTGAGGTCAAGCGATCCTCCCACTTCAGCCACTCAAGTAGCTGGGATTGCAGGTGCAGACCACCATGCCTGCTTCTGGTTTGGTTTAGAGGCAATTCAAATATCATATGTCTCCTATAGTTCTGTCCCATCTACAATTTGCATGTCTCAATCTTCTTTTTTGTTATCCACAGGCAAAATGTTATTCAGTGCAAGCTCCTTCCACCCTGATAGGAAAAGATTTTCCCCTGTATTGTCTCAGCTTTAAGAAAGGCAGAAAAAGACAAGTAAAGTCACTTGTTTGGGATTTCAAGGAACAGGGAAAAAATGGAACCTCTGGCAAACGGGAATGTGATCTACATGGGAAAATCTCTGAGAAGACACCTACTCTTCCATTGGTCTTTGTCTCTGAGGCTCCTGGAGCTGCAGCCTCATAGGAATGGCTCCTTGTTGGAAACTGGGGCAAAAAAGTACAGCACTGGTAAGGACAGAGGGCTCTGTCTGTGGAAAAGGGACAATCGGTGAACTTTCGAGCCCAGGGGCAGGGGCAAGGTTTCCAGTGTGAGCTAGACGTCTGGAAACTCAATCTCACCTAGAGTATCAGTTACCTCACAGACTCAAACCCTCTCCTGCATAAAGGGTGGCAGTAGCGGGGCGGGCCTCTGACATGAAACCCTCTGTTCACTTCTTAATTAACTCTAAGAAATGTGCATCAGAATTTCTTAGAAAGGGAAATTGTTCTGCCCGGTAGAAGGACAGAGGTGTCATCAAGATAGGAGTTTGAGTACGACAAAAATATCAAGAGCTTCCCATGTCTGCCTTGGCCCAGAGAATTAGACATTAGTGGGGTCCCTCTTTAGATCATGGGACCATTGCTCCCTGCCAAATTTCTGCTCAGGGCTTGTTTTCCAAAGAGAATCATAAGAGTTACCTTTGCCCTGCCTACTGTTTTGATATCAAATGTCCTTGGTACTCGAGCATGAAAATATGAGGAACTCTCAGATCCTGATTCTATACACTTTGGCAATTCCAGGTAAGCACCTGAATTACAGAATCCTATTTAACATCTGGGTGTGAATTCTCTCCCCATTCACTCTGAGCCTGCCACCAGACTAGCCCTCAATAAGCCTTCATTCACGTATTCTCCATCAGCATTTAGTATAAACCTATCAGTATGCTTGACACTACACTAGGGACTTAAGGTACAAACAGGCCCAAGACGTGATCTGTGCCCTCAAGGGTTTATTTTCTAGCAGGGAATACAAATGTATGGATTAATAATAGCAGCTACTGTTTCTTAAGCCCTTATGAAATGCTTTTTCTTTTAGTGACAACATCTCACTATGATACCCAAGCTGGAGAGCAATGACCATACAAAGGCGTGATCATAGTTCACTATACCCTCAAACTGCTTGGCTCAAGCAAACCTCCTGTGTCAGCCTCTTGAGTAGCTGGGACTACAGGCACACACCACTGCACCCTGCATATGATATGCTTTTGATAAACATTGAGCTAAATAGTTGTAGTAGACAGCCTCTAAAATAGCCCACAATGATCTTCTCCTGAAATTCACATGCTTGTGTAGTGCCCTTCCACACTGACTAGGGCTGGTATAAATAATAGGATCTATGGAAATAATAGTACATGACTTCTGAGACCAGGACATAAATGACAATGCAGCTTCCACCTTGCTCTCTCTTGGATCATTCACTCTAGGGGACTCCAGATGCCATGTGGTGAAGATACTCAGGAAGCTCTATCCTGTGGGAAGGTCCACATGGAGAGGAACTGAGGCTGCCCACCAACAGCCAGGGAGGAATTGGAACCTTCTGCCCATAGCCATGTGACTGAGTCATCTTGGAAACAGTACCTCCAGCCACAGATAAGCCTTCAGATAACTGTAGTCCCATCTAACATCACGAGTGCATCCTCATGAGGCAGAACCACCCAGCTAAGCTGCTCTCAAATTCCTGACCCACAGACAGAAAACAGTGTTTATTATTGGTTTAAGCCACTAGATTTTAGGGTAATTTGCCATGCAGCAATAAGTAACTAATACAGAGCTTTGTGTTCATTTTCTGTTGATTCTTCAGGCCAGTCTTAGTGGGTATTTATTATTATCCCAACTTTACAAATGAGGACACTGAGATTTAGAAAGGTTATAGCAAGAGGCAAAGTCACAGCTAAATAGCGAAGTCTTCTGAACTTCAAACTCTGTGTCTTTAGCCTCTATGTAATAAAATGATTTTGGCGCAAACGCAGAAGTCTATACAGGGAACAAAAGGTCACAGTGGGAGTAGTGAACTCTACCTGGGAAGTCTGGAACTGGAGGGGAGGAGGAGGCAGGGAAGACTTGTTAGAGGATATCAGACTTGCAATGAAAAGGAAGGATGAGCAGATGTTCACCAGGTGGGCAGCAAGGAAAGGGATTCCAGATGAAGCAGCATGAGCAGGGGCATGGAGGCACCAAACAGCCTGTGTTCAGAACCTCTGAAGTTTCCAGACCTGGAAGAACGGAGGCCTTGTGGCTTGTACATAAGGGGATACTCTTGGTTCTTGCCCAAGGTCTATTCTTGCAGTCACAGGACAGAACCCTGTGCCCCCCAAATAATTAGCACATTTCCTACAAACTACTGTCCCAATCTCTTCTCTTGATTAACTTAAATCCTCACCCCCCCCATTTCTTTCCTAGGTCAGTTCTTTTTTTTTTTTTTTTTTTTGAGATGGAGTCTCACTCTGTTGCCAGGCTAGAGTACAATGGCGTGATTCAGCTCACTGCAACCTCCGCCTCCTGGGTTCAAGCGATTCTTCTGCCTTAGTCTCCCAAATAACTGGGACTACAGGCACGTGCCACCACACCCAGCTAATTTTTGTATTTTTAGTACAGACAGGGTTTCACCATGTTGGCCAGGTTGGTCTCGATCTCTTGACCTTGTGATCCACCCACCTTGGCCTCCCAAAGTGCTGGAATTACAGGGATGAGCCACCGTGCCTGGCCAGTCAGTCTCTTTTAAAGACCCAGCTCCCTGGCATCCCCATCATGCATACCACTGTTCTTCTTGGCAGGCAACTCTTGCTCCTTACAAAAATGTGGTTATGATGCTTATATTTGAATTCATAACATCTCTTTTCTACTGCAAAATATCATGTAAACTTTACTTTCTTCTTTAGCAGGATCGCAAGAATGGCAAATTAGGGAGATTCATGGGACCAAGTGTATTGGATTATAGAAAGGTGCTTTTAACTTTTATTAGGTTGGTGTAAAAGTAATTGCGGTTTTTGTCATTACTTTCTTCGAAAATAAACAATTACTTTTGCACCAACCTAATACCTTTTCTCATAGCAGCCTTCTGGATCCTTGGTGGATTATAAATTAGAGACGCACAGTACAAGGAATTAGTAGCTGGTTTAATAACAGTATCCACACCCCAAAAATATTGACGATGGGTTTATGTCAAGGTCTAGAGGACAATCTATATTGGCATGACCAACGGTTCTGCCCTCAGCCCTCTCCCAGGCAACATCTTTTAAACCAATAACTTGAATGGAGATATAGAAAGTAGGTTTATCAAATTACCTAATGGTTAAAACAGGTAGGTAGCAACCCCATGAGATGGCAGAACTAAAACTGTCTCCCAAAAGGCTAACATGAGTCAAGTCTTACCAAGACATCTTTGCCTGACATGTAAAGTCCTTCACTTGAGTTCCAAAAGTAACTGCACAGATACACAATGAAGATTTCTGACTCGGGGTAACTGTAAAAGGGAAGAACATTAAAGAGTTTTAGCTCTAGTTGAATGGAAGCGAAGACACAGCCTGCGCTAGGGGAGAGGAGGAGGGACAGTTGGATTCTGAAGGTTTACTGCTGAGATTCGACAGCCTCACCACCAACCCCGGGCTGTATTTAGTAACTCGCACTCTACTCCATTAAATGTGTTTGGGTTTCCAGCCCCCTCCCCGTGGCCCTCACCCCAGACTGAGCCAGGAGCCCTTAGAAGGTAATGAGAACACTGAGAGCTTGGAGTCTGGGAAGAGCTTGGAAACGAGAGCGCTCAGAGCCTCTCCCTGCGCGGCCCTATCCCTGCTGATAAGGCTGCGAGCAAAGCTGGCTGACAAGTGATTGGAAACAGGAGTTCCCAAACCCTTTAACGCTTTCCTACCCTGCTCGTGTGCTGGAGTCTCCATCTCCCTTGGCTTCCCCCTCTCTGTATCAGGGCTCTCTTCTCCCTCTACCAGGCTTTCCATCTACTCCGCCTTTTGTCCTGATGAGTACCGAATGCTGTCCTTCTGCCTGAAAAGCAGTCACTTTCACCACCAAAGATGCAGGCTGCCCAGACAAGTCAACCAGGGAGTCTCCCTCTGGTCCAGACCCTACCAAGCTCACTTAAACAACCACACCTGTGCTTGTCCAGCGCTGCTGTTCAGCAAGCAGCAGGAACCTACCAGGGGAATGTTGGTCCTGTTTGGTGTTTGGGGTTTCTGGGAGCGGAGACCCCAAGGCAAGTCACAGAAACCTAAGCCCAGAGCCATTCTCAGCTGCCCCTGCTGGCTGGGGAACCCTATCAAACGACTTCAGGGGTCACCCTCTTAAGCCAGACCTGACTTTGCTAGGGGATCCTAAAGGCCTTCCATTCACTTAGCTATTGCCTGCTTCGTGGACAGACCTCTTACAGGCATGGATGACGAGGGGTCTGTCTGTGACAGTGGCCAGCATGACTGAAGCTAAGAGGTAAGCTTCCCTCCTTACCCTGGGGATAGGCATTAAGGAAAAGCCAGGCTTAAGAGCCACAGTAATTAAGTGTAAAAGAAGCTTCCTTCAGTGGAATGGAATTCAGATAAACTGCCATTATCATGCAAAGCAGCTTTGCACCTAAAAGCCCTTACTCAAACAGGCAGTTTAATTAAATCCCTAATCTCCTCTGGCCTATTTGACCCCTTCTCTCCTCCTCTTATCCCCTTACCACCCCCACCCCCTGCCTCAACCACACCCTTACCTTCAAGATTCCATTTAAAATACCCCACCTGTAAGTGTGCAAAATCTACCCAAAAAAGGTAGGTCTGGGGTCCTCTTTAGAGTTTGGTTGCTGTGTCTTAGGGGTTAGCTCCCTGAGGCTCAGACAGCTCTGACTTGGGTGCTGGATGCTGGCAGCAAGAGTGAGCATGATGGTGGTGATTCCCACAATGGCCATGGTCAAATGAAGTGAGGGGAGTCAGCATCACACACCCACCCACTGATTCCAGCTCAGCCCCAGGAGGCTGATGCCCATTTATAACCCACCCCGTGCCATGAAAAGTCTGCAGTCTCCCTCTCCACAGTAAGTGTGAGGCAGCCCTAACAGGCTTGGATGTTAGGACCCTGCTGTTAAACCAGAAGCAACAGGGATGGAGAAATTGACCTGTCTGTGGGCATCTCCATTTCTGAGGCTGCACTGGTGGCTGCTCTGAAGCCTAGGAGGGATGCTAAACCTGGTAGTGAGATTTGCAGGGAAAAGCCTGCAGCTATGATCTGGAGTAGACTACCTGCTGTCGGTAGTGGGAGAGGTTAAGAGAAGGAAGACTGGAATGGGGTGGGAGGTTGACGAGGCTGAAGTGCACTGATAAAGAAAAACCTAATAGTACCTTCTGACATCTGCAAAGTGCTTTATAAGTTTGTGCCTTCATTCAGGAAAAGAAAGAAAGAAAATCATATGTAGAATATGCCAGGCACCATGGCCTGCTTCTCTCAATTTGAACCTTGTAAAGTAAATCTCCCTCCCTCCCTACTCCACACTCAGGAGAAAAAAACTGTGATGCAAGGAGGTGAAGTGACTTTCCCAGTGGCACACAGCTCATGACTGGCAGAGCGAGGATGCAAACACTGGCCTGCCTTCCTGAAAATCGACGCTCTTTCTGCTAAACCACAGATCACCCACAAGGATTACAATGTTGGAGCGGGGATTAACCACCCAAGAATACTCATGGCATCGTGGGCCAAACTCCATCTCTTCTCCCTCATGCAGCAAGAAAGTTTCCATCTCAAAACAAGCCATTTCCTCTGAGCAGCGGTCTCGGCAAGGATGAGAAAATCAGCCCTCAGCCCTGCGGATGCAGGCCAAGGGAGCTGGGCTTGTGGAGGGCTTCTTGGGGTTCAAACCCAGGAGAATAAAGAGTCCCAGAGGAAACTTTTCTTTGCAGGAAAGAAGTGTCCAGGGCCGTGGTGGGGGAGGGGGCATCTGTAAGTCATATAACAAACACCAGACCTCTCCATTTTATACCTCATTCCTTTGGTGGGGGCAAGCAGTAGAGCCATCTCTATTTGGGAAACAGTGAAACTCAAATCACCGTGAACCCTGCACTTTCTCTGTTACTTGTGTGAACTTCACTGTGCCTGGAGAATGCATGGACCTGCATTAGATGAAGTTATATTTCTGGAATATTACATATATATATCTGTGCAATATATCAATTATATGGAATAGATACAGAATATATTACATATAATAATATATACGAATAACATATATTCCTATATATTATTATATATAATATAATCCAAATATATATGATAATGTGTATTATCTTCTATTTCCTTGTCTTGTGAGTTTTCTTTGCAAAGAGTAGATACCCTTTCGGGAGATTCCAATAAATCTTATGAATAAATGACTGAAGCTGGCAGTGTTTGAGGCGGCACAATACCCAGCCCCTGAGGGAGCTCCTAAGACTTTTGATTCTCCGGCCCTGAGCTGGTTCTCCCCAACCGGCCCTGTCCATTTGTGGCCACCTCGCTCCAAGCCAGGTATTTCCAAAGGTCATCGACTTGGAATAACAGGTGCTACTGTTTTGACTTCAGCAAGACAGCCTGGGACCAAAGAATCCTCCATAGCTTCAGGGCTGATGTGGGTGGGTTAAGAAAGTTGGATTTTGGATGAGATCTGTTACAGGGTCCTTTGTCCCTCTTACAGCAAAGAAAACTGAGAAGAATTTTAAAAGGCTGCCTTGGTCTCCAGAATCCCTCTGGAAGCAGATGGCATGTCAACAGGTTCCAGGGCAGGCTCCAGAGGCCCCAGACTTGGGATCCTTATTGGAATGTAATTAACCTAAGTGCTGGCTGTTAGGATGAAAAGGCAGGAATGCAATTATGGAAGGAGCATGAGGTGAGCTTTCATTGATTAACCTGTCCTGTCTGATTCCATTCCCTACTGAGGTGATTTTGGGGCCCCTCTGAGGGTTGCCCTGTGCCCTCGGGGTTATGAGAAAGGAAAACAATCACTGCAGAAAGTGAATACCTAAAACAGAGTTCAGGAGGCCTGTGTGGACCCCCAAAATTGCCTGGAAAATGCACTTGTGCAAAATGCAAAGTGTACACTTTCGAGGAAGAGGCTGGACACTCTTATCACTTGCCTGAAGGGGTCTGCAGCCCCCAAAGGGTTAAGAGTGTCTGTTCTAGAGGAGCGAAAGCTCAGCACAGTTGCTAGAGTAGGACCTCAGGAAAAGTTCCTTCAGTTTTCAACTTCAAATGGCCATCATCCATCTGAGTTCAGTTCTGGCTCTACCACTTACCAGCAAGTCACTTAGCCTCTCTGCGCCTCAGTTTCATCTGTAAAATGAGGGACATCCCAGGGTTCATAAGATAATTGAATGATGTGCAAATACAAAACATTTTTATTTTAGACAGAGTCTCGCTCTGTCACCCAGGCTGGACTGCAGTGGCACGATCTCGGCTCACTGCAACCTCTGCCTCCTGGGTTCAAACGATTCTCCTGCTTCAGCTGCCCGAGTAGGTGGGATTATAGGTGCCTGCCACCACACCTGGCTAATTTTTGTATTTTTAGTAGAGACGGGTTTCACTGCATTGGCCAGGCTGGTCTCGAACTTCTGATATCGGGTGATCTGCCCGTCTCGGCCTCCCAAAGCTGGGATTACAGGCGTGAGCTACCACGCTGGTCAGAATGCAAAACTCTTTTTATCCGTCTTGCTCTGTCACCAGGCTGGAGTGCAGTGGCATGATCTTGGCTCGCTGCAACCTCCGCCTCCCAGGTTCAAGTGATTCTCCCACCTCAGCCTCTTGAGTAGCTGGGATTACAGGTGCCCGCCACCAGGTGTGGCTAATTTTGGTATTTTTAATAGAGACGGGGTTTCACCATGTTGGCCAGGCTGGTCGCAAACTCCTGACCTCAGGTGATCTGCCCACCTCAGCCTCCCGAAGTGCTGGGATTACAGGCATGAGCCACCTTGCCTAGCTAAAACTCTTAACCCAACATCAAGCTCTTGGTAAGCACTCAATAAATGGAAGCCATTTTGATTATGATTATCAAAGTCTAGAATATAAAGTGGACTGTGTACATGTACTCTTTAGGAGCAGTCTTTTGGCCCCAAACTAGATTCTATGGGAATCCCCAGGTAAGATGTTCCTCCAAAATGAAGTGGAGCCATGTGACCCGGGGTCTTTAAACATTGCTTTCTCAAACCCTCCCCCAGTAGGGTACTTCTCCCCCAGAGGCACAGGGATCTGGCCACACTGAGAGATAAGCTTCTGGAAGTGGGGGCACATCAAGCATCTGGGTGGTACCAGTGCCTGGGCCTGACCTGGAGTCTTCACCAGCCTGCCCTTTTGGGGAAGCTTCTGACAATTTTGATTACCAAAATCTTCCCGCCTTTTGGGATAATACATTCAAATGCTCCATTGAGACAGACTTCTGTATCTTTACAGGCCCTAGAATGAGACTAACCCAAGGCCCAGCATCTGCAGAATGTCCAAGGTGGAACCAGGAAGGAACAACTAAACCACTCCTTTTCCCCTCTTCCCAACACACCCGTCTCTCCTCCCAGATCCTTGGAGCTCTCCGCCCTCAGAACCTACAAGTTGCCCAGGGGTCTTCCAGACCAGTCCCAATTGCTTCCAGCCTCCTTCCTCCAGCACAACCCTGCAGCCTTGGGCCACTAATCCTATGCTAAAGCCTCCCCCACCTCTGGGCTCAGAAGCAGGTGTAATCCCAACACCAGCAGGGAATCCCAGAGGTGAAGGTCACAGGAGAATCTTTAATCTTCAGTTCCCAGGAGAGAAGACACCCAAAGAGCAGGGAGCAGAAGCCAGCTCCAGGCCATCCATTTGTTTATTCATCAATCATTCATTTATGCATTAATCATTCATTCCCCCCACCCATCAATCACTCATCTGCTTATTTGTTCATTCAGTGTGTTTGTACCTTGTCCTTGCTTTGGTTACTGCAGATGTTGGTCCTCTCCTGCTTTGATCTGTCCCGTTTCTCTGGCAGCTGCACAGCAGAAGCCTTCTCATGTCCCTTGTTGGGTACTTGGCTGAGAGGCTGTCTCTCTCTCAGAGGTGCCTGAGGAAAGCCAAAGGGACAGTGCAGAGCTGTCTGCTGCCTGCAATTTCCCTTCCATTGCAAAATCCAGTCTTCTGGTCCATGGGTCAGTGGGAGAGATTGGGAGGGGCTGCAGAGGGGTCTCCAGGGCCAATCGAGGAATAATGGTCTGGACATCCTCACCGTGTGCGAGCTCTGGCTGTTTAAAAAATAAAAAGAAAAAACAATATGCTGATCCTTCTGGGAGAAAGGTGACTGTAGGAGACTCTAAGCTTCTGTGCCTGGTTCTGAGGCCTGAGCTCCGATCTTTGAGGGGGTTTGGGGAACATGGTATGGGAAAACCTGGGGCTGGAGTTTCAGAGGCCTAAGCTGTGAACCTTCTGACAGGTCTCCCGTCTTCCATCCTTCCATCTACCTGGTCCCCGTAAAGTCTGTTCTCAGCCAGCAGCCAGAGATCCTTTAGTAAAAGACCATGTCCTGCCTCTGCTCAAAACCCTGCCCTGACTTTCAGTTCTCTCAGAGCAAAAGCCAAGGCCCCACTTGATGGGGTCCCCCTCATCTCCCACTCACTCCCTCCATTCAGCGCCCACTGTCCCCATCCTTCCAGAACTCACCAGCCACACTCCTACCTTAGGGCTTTTGCTATCGTTGTTTCTTCTGAAACAGGCTTGACCTGGATGACATGCTTGAAAATGACTCACTTTCTCACTTCCTTCAAGTCTTTGCTCAATTGAAACCTTCCCCATGAGCCTACCATGACCCATCCTATTAAAAATTGCAAAGCACACAGGCGCGCGCACACACACACACACACACACATCCCCCTACTCTCAACCCCCCTGCTCCTTAGCACTCATCATCTTCTAACGTAATACATAATTTACTTATTATTTTTACCGTTTATTATCTGTCTCTGCCTGCTCAAGAATAACTTCCAATAGGGCAGGGGTCTTTGTATGTTTTCTTCACTGATGTGTCCCGAGGGTGGGCCATCCCACGGATGGCTGGTATATAGCAAGAGCTAGTAAAACATTCCTTGGATGAAAGAATGAATGAGTTAATGGGCTGTAGGAAGCTCTGAGGATGCAGCTTGTGAAGCCACGGGCTGTGGAGTTTGGGGCTTCTTGAGGGTAGAATTTAGGAGGCCCACAGTGGCTTCTATCAGCTGTGCTGAGGAGAGATGAGCCAGGCAAATTGCCCGCTCCCAGCCTTCTCGGGGAGGAAAGGTAGGCAGCAGCGTCGGTGGGGATTGCGCTAACTCAAGATGCCAGCTCCGTGCCGCTCTGGGGCTGGCCAGCGCTCTGGAGGTCATTAGCTGATTTGTTCTGCTCTGCAGAATGTACTTTTCATATTTAGGCAGAAAAAACAGCTTTCGATCCTTGTGCCCTTTCTTCTGTGAGCTGTAGCACATGGCCTGCTTATTATGAATTAATCCTCTAAAGAGCATGTTCATTCTTCTAATTTAATTGTGCTTCGTTTCAGAAAATAACTAAACCCAGTGCGGAATAAACTCCAATGCTGATCGGTTTTCAAGACGTTAACCTAAGACAAAACACTGCTAGAGGGCAGCAGCAATTTGGAATCATTAAAGGGAACCCATGTAAATAATAAAAACAAAACTAAAATGCAGAATTAAATTAAGGAATAGGAAATTAAATTTGGGAATCTAATCTAAAATTGAGGCCTTATATGCCCAGGCTTCCCTGGCTTGGCTCTTCACTCAGGAGTGCCCAGGAGAGGAGGTTCTGCAGAGGTTCCCACGACCGGGGAAGCGGCAGCCCCTCCTGGGTGACAGTGTGCTGCTCTGGGAAGAGAGATGTGGGCTGAAGTGGGAGAAAGGGGGCTTTCCTCCCACAGGGTCCACTGTGATGAAGACGAAAGCCACACTGTCACAGCTGCATCTGGATGGCTCGTCCTGAGCCCTGGTGACCGGTTCAGGAGAACTGCCTGCAGCCAAGAGTCCGAGCTGCCACTCACTAAGAGGAAGCACAGGAAATGAGGCAGATGGTGCTGAGTGGCTGCTGGCCTGAGATGCTGGGAGTGGTCAGCCCTGGGCAAAGAAGCTGCGCCAGCCCTCCTTCACCTTTGGGCCCTGGGCACCCTCCCACAGGTGACCCAGCTCAAGACGGAGGCTGAGGGAGTTTCCTCCTGCCCGGGCAATGGCCCCTAAGCAGAGTCCTGGCCTCCCCACCACCACCGTGAGAGCCCAGTTCCAGATGGAGGAGCCCCAGACTCCAGCATCACCATGGCAGGTCAGGCCTCCCCCAGGCAAAATGAGAAAGGGAGGATGGGAAGGATGGGGGCTGGGGATGAGAAGAGAGCCAAATTATAAAAGGTCTGCAAGTCAGATGTACAGTCAGGGGCAGAGTTAGCACCTTGGCTCAGGCTTCATTATGTATTGATTTTTTAGACCCTGTCCCTGGGGTAGTCTCTCTTTTTTCTCTCCATATTTCTACCTCCTCTGGCTCTCTTCCTCTCTTTCTCCCACCTCCCTCCTCAAAGTGAAAAGAGATCAGCCTTCTGAGTCAGACAGACTGATTTGGAGCCACAGTTCTTCCTCTTACTTGGTACTAGAGCTTCAACAAACTATCTTGCCTTCCTTGACCTCAGTTTCCTCATATGCAATGCTAATAATATCTGCCTCCTTGGTTTGGGCTAAATGCAAGAAAGCACCTGGCACAGAGCAGGCACTCAGGCACTTCTGCTTTTTCATTCTCTGTTTCACCAGTGATTCTTTACACGCCACTCTCTACACACACATGCACACACGTGCACACGTGTGCACACACAGGCTCCGCAGGCTCCATCCTCTGCCAAAGGCCTTAGACTGTGTTTCTAGAGCACCACAAGTAGTTAGAAAAAAAAAAAAAAAGTCCAGTCAATCAAATGCAATCAACTGCTTGCTTTGATTCACAAAGGCAAACATTCAAACAGACAGCCATATCCCAGAATCAAAGTGAAGTTTCCCATTGCCATTTTCATTTGGAGTTCTACATGGATAAATTAGCCACCTTAAAATAGATATCTTTTTTGAAAAAAGAAGAGAATACAAACAAGCAAAGAAAAACTAATAATCACTTGTTCTCATTTAATTCACATTTTGATCAAGAAACTGATGCACAAAATTAAGGCCACAATGTTGATTGGTCAGTTAAACAGTGATTGCGTCTAAAACTATCCAAGATGGAGACCACAAGGACAAAAAAGGCTAAGAGTTCTGTCTTGAATTCCCTGGCTACTTTGCTAACTGCCTGCAGACAGCATGCTAGTCTCTTGCCTGTCTCCTGATTTATACCCATAAATTAAGGCACTGTGTGGCACAACCAATCTCGGTTCTCCCAGAACAAACCCAGAAACCTCAGAGCAGCCACCTGGTATGGATCCAAAATCCGTGGAAGATCCACCTTCAATGTCAATGGAAAAGAAGCAGGAGAGCCACACCCTGGCCTGAGGCTACTAGGGAGAAGGAAGGGTTACCCTGAAGGTGAGGACCAGGGCCAGGTAAGCCACAAGGTTGGCCTACACTTGGGTCCAGGGGCAAATACTGGAAAATGACCCCTCAGCCTTTAAAAGTTAAAAAGGTATGCAAATTTCTTAGACATGTAAAACTCTTAACAGAAGACTTATCCAGGGAGCCCCACCTGTTGGGGAGCTCAGTTGATGGGGGGTTAATTTCTAGAAGGCTGGAGTAAGTGTGGTCAGTTAAATGGTATTATGGACCGCACGTTTCTACCCCCCGAAATTCATATGTTGAAACCCTAATTCCAAATAGGATGACATTAGGAGGTGGGGCCTTTGGAAGGTGATTTTGTTTAAATGAGGTCATGAGGATAGAGCTCCCATGATGGCATTAGTGACCTTACACGAAGAGAAAGAGACTAGAGTCATTTGAGGACACAGAGAAAAGACAGCCATCTGTCTTCTCTCCAGGAAGAGGACCCTCACCATCTGGAGGTGCTGGTGCCTTGATCTTGGACTTCCTAGCTTCCAAAACTGTGAGAAACAAATGTTTGTTGTTTAAACCACCCAGTTTATGGTATTCTGTTGTAGCAGCCTGAACTGAAAAAGACAAATGGTTTCTGTATTTCTGATCTTCAGTGAAAACCTCCTTTTCCAGAATATGAAACTGCCTCCCTGGGAGGGCTTTTGTGTGGAGGCAGTTTCCCCATTTTACCATGAAGCCTCAAGTCGTGTCTACCCAACAGAAGAGCTTTCAAGGTGGCTACACTTGAGAGGGAAACTAATTTGTTTCCCTAAAACAACTAAATTCCCTCCCATCTTAAGTCCATATAGCTTGAGTTTGTGCAACCCATCCAACCAGGGATCCTTTCCCCATTGGTAACTCTAATATTATTGCTGATAACACTACTGAAAATAGTCAACATTCATTGAGAGCTTACTTGATGCCACACATTTGTTCTAAGTGCTTCATAAGAATTATTTCATTTAATCCTTACAACAACCATATGACGTAGACATTATTGTCCCTATTCTATAGATGAGGCAACTGAGGCCCAGAAAACAGAGCAGCTAGCCCATTATAACAACAAAACACAGCAGCACCGGGGTTTGAACCTAGGCAATGCCCCAGATTCTGGAGTCTCCTCACCACTAAACAGCACTCCCTGTTGGTCACCAGCTCCCCCCATCCACACATCTATCCATAGTGACCCTAAATATAGGCCACATGGAAAAGAGAGTTCACCAGGCCTTTGGGAACTCATATCTGGAAGGCAGGCTTGTGTTTACAAAATGCCTTCCCACGGCTTTTCTCCCCTGGTCCTTGTGGAACATGGTAGCTAGGTCTTCAAGGTCATCCTTGCCTTTCAGCAAATGCTGTGTCCTGGGCTCTGTGGGGTGTATGGTATAGAGACAAGACCATGCTTTATTCTGTCTCATGGATTAACTTCTCACAGCCCATAAGGGCAACACAAGCTTGGCACCCAGCAGAACATTCCTGGAGGAAACAGCCTTGTCAGTGTACAGGTACTCATTTAAATTCCAGACCCTGGTTTTTAAGACACACATCTGCAGTGGGCATATGTAGTGATAGATGAAAACAGAAATGGTTTTCCACTATTTCTGTATTATTAGATGTGACCTACTATCGAAAGAGCAAAGAAAGAGTGGAAAATTAAAGGTGATTTGATATTAGCCTCCTATTCATATTAGAAAAAGTAACTGCTCTTGCGGTTTT